TTTGTGACCCAAGAAATAAGAATATGGTTCCAACAACCAGTTATTTTAGGAGTTAGGGGATCATACACCAGGAGGCATCTCACCTCACCCACCACTCTGGCTCTGGTCCAGGAGGGCAAGGGAAAGCCTAAACTGACTAGAGGTCCTCTGATCAAAGCTCAGCTCTCTAGACTCTCTAGATGAGTACGTCATCTAGAAAAATGTGAGGAGCACTTCCAAAGAGAAGGGAGCATTTGACTTCCCAAGAACTCTAAAACCTACATATTTACCTCCTGGGTACAAGCTGCCTGGCAGACTCCAGGAACCAGCAGGTCTTGTCTCTGCCTCCTGAGGAGACAATGGTCAAGACACTGCCTTTCTCAGAGCACTGACTGGAAGGATCCAGACCAAGAGGGGAAGTGGCGTCCTCGATTCAGAGAGACAGGGGGCTAGGAGTTAAAGCAGTCTGGGACTCACACACACACACACACACACACACACACACACACACACACACACACACACCCCGCTCCTGCTTTCGGCTGTTCCATATCTTCTGAATATGCTTTGCACGCTCTCGAGCATGTAGAGTGCTCTGCACACACGGAGAAGTCAATTCCACCATTTAATTAACTTCGCTGCAGCACTCACCTTCCCACTGGCATTTCCAGAGGCGCTTTGGAGGTATTTACTTCCTTTATACAAAATCACTCCAAGAAATAGGACAACTTATAGAGCAGGAAGGTGGGACCTGGAGATGTTGGGTGGAATCTGGGGGCCACAGGTGACATGTGGATAGGGTTCCCATCTATGTTTCAACATTGACTGGCAGTGTTGTTCCCAGGGTGACTTCTGAAATTGTTTCCCACTGTATGTTGGCAGAAAATACATAATGCCTTTTGAGCTTACTGGGGAAATTAAAGGAGACTGTGTGTGCTAAGTGCTTACCACATGCCTAGAAAAATAATGAGGTTCAAAAATGGAAGCTAGTAATAAAACAGTCGTCCAAGGAGGATGCAACTTCAGTAGAACCCTAATACATCCTTTACAAGATGGGCGCTCCCAAAATTGTTCCAGTTCAGAATCTGCAGAGTGCTAATAGCACCCATCCGCTAAGGCATCACTTGTCCCTATTTGGGTTCAGCTTAAAACTGCCATCAGGGTGACACTTCCAGTTCTGTGACAGTAAGGGTGGCATTTCCCCAGGCCATGTCTCTTACTTCACTGTGGCATCTTATCAAAGTGCTAACACTTCCCGAGACCTGCGACAGGTCTTGAACATCCCAGCCAGGCATCTCTATGTCTGAGTTGTAAGTGACTGCTCAGATGTCATCTGGCCCAACTTGATCTCCTCCCAGTCACCAGGAGGAAAGTCAGTGTGCTGGTCCCATTGTTCCTCAGAAACATCACACACACAATCACTCCCTCCTGACATTCTCTGCAGCCCCAAGTTTCAGTTAAAAGCAAATGCCACCCCATCCAAACAAAGGCTCAGTATGGGTAGCCAGAAGACATAAGGGAGAGTGTGATGGTACACAGCTGGATCCCAGCACTTGAGGTCAGGGCAGAAGGATCAGGAGTTCAAGGTCATCTTCAACTACAAAGCAAATTTGAGACCTTATCTTATAAAACCAAAATAAATAAATAATATGGTTTATCACACAAGCCTGAAACTTGAGCTCAATCTCTGGGACCAGGGGTAGGAGAGAATTAACTCCCAAATGCTGTTCTCTGACCTCTATACACACCAAATCACACTCACAAACGCTGTTCTCTGACCTCTATACACATTGATTACAAGCACAACCACACACACCCATGCACAATAATAAATAAAATTTAAGCCAGGCGGTGGTGGCACACATGTTTAATCCCAGCACTCAGGAGGCAGAGGCAGATGGATCTCTGTGAGTTCAAAACCAGCCTGGTCGACAGAGAGTTCCAGGACAGCCAGGACTGTTACACAGAAAACTGTGTGTCAAAAAAAAAAAAAAAAAAAATCAAAAAGAAAAGGAACATATTAAATATATTAAATATAAACAGGTGAATATTTCTATAATTCTAGGATCAGGACTCCTTTGTCATTCTACAAAGGCTTCTCAAGGCCACGTGTGAGCCAAGCCCTCTGCTCTGGATTGGCCACAGAGGGTCTAGATCCTGTTTCTGCTCTCAACAAGTTCTTAGACTTTATAAAAAGTAAACAGAAGCTGGACAGTGATGGTGCACACTTTTAATCCTAGCACTTAGGAGGCAGAGGCAGGTGGAGGCAGGTGGATCTCTGTGTTGCAGGCCAGCCTGGTCTACAGAGTGACTTCTAGGACAGCCAAGGCTACATACAGAAACCATACCATGTCTCAAATATATATATATATGTAAACATCATATTATAAAGACTAGGTAGAGACATGGAGGGATATCCTGGGGAGAAACCAAGGAAAATACATTTTGCCCACACAAGAAAAATGGCAGGGAAGGGTTCGATAAGAACAGAAATTATACAGACAAACGCATGATGCCCTAGGTTCAACTACAGCTTTAAAAAGAAGACCGAGGGGGCTGGAGAGATGGCTCAGAGGTTAAGAGCACTGACTGCTCTTCCAGAGGTCCTGAGTTCAATTCCCAGCAACCACATGGTGGCTCACAACCATCTGTAATGAGATCTGGTGCCCTCTTCTGACCTTCAGTCATACATGCTGTATACATAATAAATAAATAAATCTTTAAAAAAAAAAAAAAATAAAAAAAAAAAAAAAAAAAAAGACCGAAGCTAGACTAATGTCTAAGCGACGTGCTTTTGACCATTCTCCTCTGAGTACAACTTCCCTTGTTTAAATGGTGCTACTCTTCCCCTCAAAGAAACTCTTGAAAAGCGTAGATGTGACACCTATGGAGGACCACACTGCTACTTAGAAAAGGTAACTTTCTAAAAATGAGTTGTTTCTTTACCTATGTGCATTGGGCTTTGGCCTGCATGTATGTCTATGTGAGGGTGTCAGATCCTCTGGAACTGGAGTTACAGACACTTGTGAGTTGCCATGGGTTGCTGGGAATTGAACCCGGGTCCTCTGGAAGAGCAATGAGTGCTCTTAACTGCTGAGCCATTTCTCTGGCCCAAACGGTGACTTCTCGTGTCAAAGGACAGGCTCAGCAAATGGAACAGAACAGAGGAGAACCCAAGCAGAGTTAGTGCCGAATTGTAATCCAAAAGCCGGCAAGACAGAGTGGCTCAAGTTAACACGGGCTCTCTAGGGTCAAGCCAAGGAGCTTGGGCTCGATTCTGCGAGTCTGGGGAGTCACAGGAGTGGGAGAGGGACAGGCTCCTTTGTGTGAGTTAGGGAGCTGAAGATTCTGGAAGAATAAGGATCAATGAGGAGCCATGATAAGCCATACGAGCCAGGGACACTAGCGGTCTCACCACGGCTGCCGCTGCAACACCATGCCACAGGATGGACACCCTCTGTCACCCTGAGAACTTAATCCACAGTTTAACAGTGTTAAGAGGTAGAACTTTGCCAGTCCTGGTGGCACAGACCTTGATCCAAACACTTGGGATGCAGAGGCAGGTGGATCTCTGAATTCGAGGAAAGTCTGGTCTACAGAGCTCCAGGACAGCCAGGCACCCTGGGGAAGTGGGGGGGGGACTTAAACCAGATGTTGTAGAATACACCTACAATTCCAATTCCAGCCATCAGGAGACTGAGTAAAAGGACCAGGGGTTCAAGACTAGCCTAGGTGAGATAAGCAAGACCTTATCTAAAATAAATGGACAATCATTAGGTGGCAGTGATCAGGTAGAGTGCCCTCGGCACAACCCTAGCATTATAACAACCTCCACCCAAAAAGATCACAAGAGCTACAAATAAGAGCTCTGCTGACCAGCAGTGGTTGGTAGTACGATCTAGCTGGGTAGATGGGGAGGTGGGGAGGGGATCTAAGCCTGGGAAGAACATTTGCCAAGGCTTGAAAAGGCACCTGAGAGAAACTGGGAGGCCAGTGTGGCTGGAGCTTGAAGAGAAAGGTAAGTTGGCCATGTGGTACACACAAGACTGCACAGATTAAAAACGGGGATGGGCCAGCCGAACCTCCCCAGCCATGCTTAAAACAGGTCAGGAATTCTGAGTGCAGAGCAGGCTCCAATGTCATCCCGGCCAGTCCCAGGAGTATGGGGTGTCTCGCTGTTCACTCAGGTCTCCCCACAGTTCAGAGTTTTCTTATCTACTGGCTGTTGTCATCACCCCACAAGACATTTAACTACTGGGTATTTGGTAAGGTTTCAAGAGACAGACCTTAGCCCTTCCAACCCAACCTCTCATACCCCAGGCCCCCTCCTCCAATTGTGAGGCTGAGAGATGGATGAAAGAAATGTTTAATACATGTGCCTGAAACTAAGGCCAAGATAGAGTCCCTCTCTTTTACGTTTCATTTCTTCTGTGGGATTTGGGGGCTCAGTGTTCTAACTGTTGCAATTCTAATATTCTGTGGCATGAGAGAGGATCCTAAGTCCTGAAAAAAGGAGATCTGGGGTTTCTACATTTTCAAGATTCTAAACTCCTACACTCCCTCCAGTAAACTCCGAGTGAACAGAAACGGGTTGCTGTTGTTCAGCACCAGCTGGTTTACAAGCAAGAACTCCTGAGCCTCTCAGCATCTCCCAAACAGCCAGAGAATAACAATTGAGCTCCATCTCCGAACCTCCAACACACCCACACCAGTTCCATCCACTGGCTAGCAAAAGCAGAGTCTGAAAGTCTTAGGGGCGGGAACCAAAACTTGCTAGCTGAGGAAAGAGCGGGGAGCAGTAACTGCAAGAGGGTGGGGGAGCCTCGGCCCGCCCATCCGCCTCAACTGCTGACTTCCTGGTCACAGCGGGCGTCGGCAAGGGTAGCAGGCCACCGCGGCTGCGAGCCCCAGAGCCATGGGGCAGGCGCGGGATGCCATCCTGGACGCTCTTGAAAACTTGACCCCGGAGGAGTTCAAAAAGTTCAAGATGAAGCTGCAGTCAGTGCCGCTGCGCCAGGGCTATGGACGCATCCCGCGGGGGCCCCTGCAGCAGATGGACGCCATAGACCTCACTGACAAGCTTGTCAGCTTCTACCTGGAAGCTTATGGCGCCGAGCTCACAATGACTGTGCTTAGAGAGATGGGCATGCGGGAGCAGGCTGAGCAACTGCAAACGGTCATTCAGAGAGGTGAGTGTGGCTGCCCCCCGGTCGTCTACCCTCAACTTCCTGCACCCCGCCAGAGGCCTGCCTCTTTGGCTCTTAATTTTCTCTTCCTCTTACCTTACCAAAAAAAAAAAAAAAAAAACTCCCCATGGTAGCCTTGAACTTAGCACCCTGGGTGGAGGGGGCATCAGCTCCAGACAGATTATTGAAAACGGAAGAGAACCACCTGACATTTCTTTATAGAGTCTGGAGCTGCGGCAGCTGCAACCAGTGCCTCTCCTCAAACGGCAGCCAGGACAGGTGAGGCTCCCCACCCTACCACACCCTGGCACAGCCTATCTATTGTACAACCCAAGGCCAGAGCCAAGACTAGCCCTGCCTTCCTGCTACCCACACATTTTGGGGAGGGAGTGTAGTTCACCTATGTAGCCATGGTGGGTGGACTTCCTTGGTCCCCCCCCACACCCCTAAAACTCTATCTAATAAAATCTGAAGCAGCAATCAGCTGTGTCCTCTCTTCTGTCCTCAGTACACTTCATTGACCAGCACAGACAAGCACTGATCGGCAGGGTCACGGACGTGGACGCCCTGCTCGACGCCCTGTTTGGCAGTGTGCTGACTGAAGAACAGTACCAGGCAGTTCGAGCGGAGACCACCAACCCGAACAAGATGAGGAAGCTCTTCAGCTTCACTCCAGCCTGGGACCTGGCCTGCAAGGACTTACTCCTCAAGGCCCTGAGGGAAACACTGCCCTACTTAGTGGCGGACCTGGAGAAGAGCTGAGGTATTTTCTCCAGCTACAGCTCCTAACTCTGAATACACAAATTTTTAAAAAATCAGTTAGTACTGTTTTCTCTGCTCCCTTGGATGTTTGTGCCTCGCTAAGCTACATTTCTAAAGGCCAAATGAGCTAAGGAGAAGGGCTCAGTGGTAGATGATGGACCTACCATGCCCAACCCCCTAGGATCAGTCTCCAACCCCCAAATTCCACAGACTTCTGGTTTCACCGTTCTAGTGTGTAAGACTTCTCAAATGATTCCTGATTCCTCACTTGGGAGGGTTTCCCATATTATCCCAAGGGATTACTCTTGAGAACACACTTAACATATCCATCCAAACCAAGTTAAAATGGGTATATTGGGAATATATGGGGATATGTACAATGGGGCTTAGAGTCGGGAGGGGCAGCCCTGCCAGAGGCATCTAGAAACCAGATCATAAAAGACTCCTTATTTGCTCTACCTTCTCCATAATTATACTATTTTCACATGAGGCAGAAGTACCAGCAGGTTACCAAGGAGGCCCAGACGCCAAGCACCTACCAGCTCCGCTCCCTCTATCAGACTTGGTCTAGCCTTTAGCTGCAGCCGGCCTACAGTCCTCTCTACTTCTAGTCCCCCTCCAAAGGCCTGAGTAACCAAAACTGCTCATGGGAACAGATTGTCTTATTATCACACCTGAACTTCCTGCCTGGTCCTTAAGCCCACCCAGCCGCATCTCCTCACACACACTTCCACATATACCCATACCCACTATTTGCTCACACCAGGCACTACTTACACACTTAGCATACAACTCTGGAAAGTCTTGAAATCTGCTTGTCCCAGCATGCTCAAAGGCACACCTACTGGCTCAGAAAACATTTCCCAGTGTCTCTATGGTAAAGTTTTGGTAAAATATTGCCAGAGAATATTTTCACAAGGGACCCTTCTAATAGATTGGGCCTGTCATTATAAAACATTTTTTTTCCTAATTCCTATTTTTTTTTTTTAATTTTCATATAAACTTGTTAGGCATGGTGGCACATGCCTTTGATCCCAGCACTACCCAAGCCAGCCTGGTCTACAGTGTTCCAGGCCAGCCAGGGATATTAAGAGCCTGACTGAGAAAATGAAACTTCACAGGATCCTATTGGTTCCATCAGACAGGACCATAAATAGTACTTTTGCAAGAGTAGCCTCCAGGCTGGGGATGGAACTCCACTGTAGAAGGCTTGTCTGCCAACCTGAACCCTGGGTTTGTTCCCACCCCCCATGGGCACACCTGTTAGTCCCAGCACTGTGGGGACAGAGGCATGAGAGCACAGATAGAGGCAGAGATAGAATGGCCCTGAAGCTCACAGGCCAGTTTTAGCTAATAAGCAGCACAGCAGCAGGAAGAACTGACTCCCGAAAGTTTGTCCTCAAGCCTCCAAGCACAGACATACGTGCTCGCTCTCACACACACACACACACACTACATTTTTTAAATTTCTTTAAAATGGATAAGCCCTTGAGGCTGGACAGACAACTCAGCAGTCAAGAGTAGTTGCTGCTCTTCCAGAGGGACCAGGTTCAATATAGTGCCCATGTGAAGGCTCAGTCTGTGAAGCCTGTTCCCTGGAATTTGATGCCCTCCTCTGGCCTTAGCAGGTACTGCATGCACATGGTGCACAGACATGCAAAAAGCATCCATAATTTAAAAAAAAAAAAAAAATTTAAATAAGCTTGGTCATGGCTCCTGATGTCACCAAAGGACATGCAGTAACACAGGATCTGGGCTGTCACTGGAGGCAAAATGGGGATCTGAGAGGCATGCTGCAGCTGGAGCCATAAAGATCTGAGTGACCTGTACTGCCATAAGATGCCCTGGTGACATCTTAGCCCAGGCTGCTGAAGACCATGTCTGAGTCTTTGTTGATGTCCATGGCCTGTGGTGCGACCAAGGGCCACACAGATGCCTGGGGTCTAGGCCCACAATCTGTGGCCATGCTGGCACTCAAGGCCATGGCACCACTACCAGGGCCACACCTATCTTAGTGGCCTGCGCTGTCAGATGGGGCCATGGTGTCATCTGGGCCAAGGCTGCTGCCAAGGGCCATGTCTGGGTCTGTAGTTCTATGGTAGCCAGGGTCTGCATTGATGTCTGTGGCTCCTGATACCAAAGGCCATGCCAATGCCAGGGGTCTAAGGTACCACGTGGGGCAATGTTGGTGTCTGAGGGTCACTCTGCTGCTGGAACCATGCCAATCTGAGTGGCCTATGCTGCCACCTGAGGTCATGGTGACATCAAAGCCCAGGCTGATGCTGGGGACCATGTCTGGGTTCATGGTTCTCCCACAGCCAGGTTCTGTGTTGATGTCCATGCCCCATGGTACCACCAAAGGACACATGGATGCCCAGGTCTAGGGCACAACCTGTGGCCATGTTGGTGTCTGAGGGCTGTTACCACTACAGCCATGCCGATCTGGGTGGCCCACGCTGCCCCACAGGGTCATAGCAGCTTCTGGGCCTGGGCTGCAGTTGTGGGCCATGTCTGGGTCCATGGCTCAGCGGCAGCCAGTGTCTGTGCAAATGGCCAGGTCTGAACAGCAGACCATGTTGGTATCCGAAGGCATTGCTGGCGCTGGGGCCATACTGATCCCGGTGGCCTGTGCTGTCACCAGGACCATAGTGACTTCTGGGCCCGAGCTGCTGCTGTAGCTGGGGTAATAACATCCATGGCCTGTGTTACCAGAGCGGGTCATAGGAGCCATGCATATGGAATCCGAGGGCTGTGCTGAGACAGTGTCCTGCCCCCTCATGGACACTGTAGCAGGAGCTGCCTCCCTCCACCAATCCACTCCCACTCTGGAGATGGCCCCACCACTCTCCACAGGCATGGGAGAGCTGACCCTGATGGCATGGCCCTAGGAGAGCTGGCTCTGCCCCTCGCCTGAGGGGGGCAGTCCCAGTGGTCCAAACCAACCAGCTCAGCTACCACCCACATCCTGGACCCTGGGTCAGCCCACCCTAACATCTGCCCCATCTATGACCTGCTGGAGTAAGTGAAGGGACTGGTCGGTTAGAACAATTCCTACAGGATCTCGGGGCGGCAGCAGGATATCCAAGAGGAGTTCGGTGAGGGTCCAGTAATGATGGTGTGCTAGAGGCCTTGACCAGACCAAGGACTCATTGCAATGAACATTTGCAGGTAAAGCTGACTGGACAAAAGGGTCTACTGTGTGACACACTACAGCTTCCGATGCCACAAGCATGAATGAAGAGGTGTTAGACAGAGGAGCAAGGTGATTTGTTTTGTTTTGAATTAATTTGGGGGGTCATGCTGTATGAGTAGAGACAGATATGAATGGACTGGAAGTGAGCAGGTTTAGGGTACATGGGAAATTCCCAAAGTATCAATAAAGAATTCTGTTTAAAAAGGAAATACACTTGGGAGACATAAGCAGGCAGATCTCTGAGTTCTAGGACAGCCATTCAGTCAGAATGACATAGAAAGTGCCAGTCTCAAAAGTTTTTTTTAAATAAATCCTTAAAAAAAATAGTTCAAAGCAGTGTTTCTTTGGTTTTGTTTGTTTTGGGGATGGGGGGTATTTGTCCTGGAATCTGATATATAGACCAGACTGGCCTTGAACTCAAGAGATCCATCTGTCTCGTCCTGGAGTGCTCAGATTAAAGGCTTGTGCCACCACTCAGCCTGAAGCAGCGTAGTTAATAGTTTCCCCAAGGGCTGAATTCAGACCCCAGAACCTATATGTAAGCTGGAAACAAACTAACAAACTAACCTCTTTGGTAAAATGGGAAGTAGAGACAGGATAATGCCTGGAAGCTCCTAGACTGGTCAAGAGACCCTAATTCAAACATGGTAGAAAGCAAGCACCAGCACCCTTGGTTGTCCTTTGACCTCCACACATAAGCCCTGGCGCTTGGAAACCACACACACACACACACACACACACACACACACACACACACACACACACACACACACACACACACCTTGGGGACTCCCCTTCCCCTTCATATTTTTTCCTGGGAGTAAGGAAGAATTCAGTTCTACAAGTCTTAGATTTAAGACACAACATAGTGGTTTAAGAGCAAAAGTTCTAAAGGAAGAAAAGTCAAACCCAGCTCCTGGTCTTACTATGATGAAAGCTGTACCCTCAGCATCCCTCTGCAAAGTAGGAATAGTAAGACCTAGCTCATCTTTTTTTTAATTATTTATTTATTATGTATACAACATTCTGCCTCCATGTATGCCTGCCCGCCAGGAGAGGGCACCAGATCTCATTATAGATGGATGTGAGCCACCATGTGGTTGCTGGGAATTGAACTCAGGACCTCTGGAAGAACAATCAGTTTTCTTAACCTCTAAGCCATCTCTCCAGCCCATCAGATT